AACATGTGGCTGTGGGTGCACTTGCCCTTGAGTGTATGCATGGGGGACAGCGGTTGATGACAGGTGCTTCCCTCTATTGCCTTCACATTAGTTTTTGAGATGGGACTGTTGAGCTGGCTCTGTGGGTAAAGCACCCGCTCTGCAAGCCTGATGGCCTGAGTTCAATCCCTGGAACACACTTAAAGTAGGTAGGAGAGAACCAACTCTATGAAGTTGTGTTCTGATTGCTAAATTATGTGTTGTAGCATGTATGTACACACACACACACACACACACACACACACACACACACACACACCACACGCACGCACGCATGCACACAACATAACAAAGAGTTACAGTGTTTAAGAGGAGCAGAAGGTTTCTCACGGGACCTGAAGCTCACAGTATCATCAGGACTGTCCTATAGGTCCCCCAGATCATCTTGCATCTGCCTCACCAACACTATGATCACAGGCTTGCACCACCATACCAAGGCTTCACTTGGGTACTAAGATCCAGACTAGGGTCTTCATGCTTGCCAGAGTGTCATCTGTTCTGTATTTTTTTTTTTTTCTGTTCATTAGAAAGACGATCTAAGAACCATCACTTTATTTGAAAGTCAAATATATTTTTGCATTTTTACCACATCGATTTTACTTTAAAATCTAATACCCAAAGCCAGTATGACAAAAATCTACAGCTTAAGTCATTCGTTAAAATTTAAGGCTGAAGTTTAAGACAAAAGGGCAGTTAACAAATCCGGTGGCCCACAATTTAAAGATAATTACTCCTTAAGAATAATGCAGATAATTTAAAATGTTCCTTTTCTGACTTTGATGTATGGTGATTATAAGTGCAGTTTATTCCTAATTCTTTTCTGCCTTTGGTGGATCACACAGATATATACTAGCTTTCCCTGTAAAGGGGAAAAAGAAAAAAAAACTTAAGAAATCATTGATCCTAGGCTTGAAGCCAAGCAATCTATTTTTAGTACTTTCTCAGCAAAGAATACAATAAAAATGTAAATGGGATGGTGCTACTTTGGCCTAAGATCAATTTTTTAAAGTATAAATTTGGCATTGTTTAAACTTGTTCTCAGACTGTCTTCAAAGAACTTGGATACTTTAGGGGGTCTTCATATTGTAGTTTCACATTAATTCTAATACTCACATTTCTCAAAGGTTCACAATATCCAGCCTTGATTGAAATCTAAGGATCAACTTGATAAATGTCCCACGCCAGGCTGCTGAATTAGCGCTCTGTCCGTTGGATCTCTCTAAGCCTTCTTGCAACTGACAAACCAGTTCTTTTCGAGTTGTGATTCTTGTCTTCTCCCTGGTACTCATTTTAGCCAGGCTCTTCTTAGAATAGGCAATTCAGCTTTCTGAAACACCACTAGACTACAAACTCCTTATGAATCTGGAACTGTGCTTTATGTCTCTTGTGGTCACCATCACAACTTCATTAGATAGGCCTGAAATAGTGTCAACTTCATAGGTGAGGTAAGCTGAAATGGCAATGAAAAAGTGGTGTGACTAAAGCCATATTCTAACAAAAATTTGAACCAGGGAGCTCTTAAAATATGTCTTTTGCTGCCAGGGTAGGGACTCGGGGCATGTATCATCAATCAAACAAGTTTCCATGGAAACTAATGGAACTTCTTGAAATGGTAGATAATGTACGTGAGATTAGGACAGAGAAGAGGAAGAGATTAGTAAAGAAGTTGGAAGGTAGCATCAGAGAAAGGAAGTATTAACAAATGACACAGAATAACATAAAGCATTGAAAAGAACTTGAGAAGGGAGCACCAGGTGCAAGAGAAGAGAGTAAATAGAAAAGTCTCGAGAAACTATTGATGAACTATGAATAGTATGACACATTGAAAATACAAAATTTTTTCAAGTTTCATTCTTAGAAAGGCTCCATACCACAGTTAGATGCTTATGCCCCAGGCTGTACTTGCCAATCCCGCAGCTTCTCAATTGTAGCCCCAGTTCACATCCGACACGTGGGAAGTCACTTTACTGGCCTCCAGCTGCTGGCATTGCCACTGTTCAGTGAGTTCTTCCCTTGTACAAAATGGGAAAAAGCCGGGCAGTGGTGGCACACGCCTTTAATCCCAGCACTTGGGAGGCAGAGGCAGGCAGATCTCTGTGAGTTCGAGGCCAGCCTGGGCTACCGAGTGAGTTCCAGGAAAGGCCCAAAGCTACACAGAGAAACCCTGTCTCGAAAAAAAAAAAAAAAAAAAAAATAGAAAAAGAAGTATGCTCCTCCGGGCCTTCTCTTTGGTGCAGACCACCACCAGCCCTCTCCTAGAGCAGCTTGCTTAGCTTCCCTTCGCCATTTTCCAGTAGATTTTGTAGAGTTGGGTCATTGTGAAGTGAATAGGAATTCCCTTGCTGTAGTTCAGAATGAGTAATTCATAAACAGCAGGGATGTAGAAGCTCAGATACCTAAGATTGCTGTTCTAGATTACAGGACTAGTCAGGACCTGCTGGAAATACCCATCTCTGACTTCACATGGGGAAGAGGAGGATGAGTTTGTGGGTCCCCTTTATAAAGGCATCAGTCCCACTCACACACTGTTCTCCGCAGAAATTCCACCTCCTGAATGACCACATTATGTGTTAGAATTTCCACATAGGAATTTTAGGAGAGACAGCTATTCAGACCTTAGCACTTTTTTTCCTGCTTGACAGGTAGTCTTCTCTGTCTTGCTGTGCCTAATTTGTAAGTCACTCCTTTCCACATGAGGTTTGGGTGCCCACATACTTGACATAATTGTTCTTCCAGGAAGGGAGAGGTCACTGTGAATTAAGTATACCTGGACACCACCACCACCACCCCGTGCGCACATGCACACAAGAAACAGACACAGACATAGACACACACACACACACACACACACACACACACACACACACACACACACACAACAACAACAACAACAACTACTACTCTACCAGGGCTGTTTCCTTCTTTTAAAGTAGCTGTTTCCTTCCACATTGCTTTCCTTTGTTCTGGTGCTGGGGAATTGAACTTAGAGCCTTTTGTGTGCATGCTAAGCAAGCACCCCATTATTGAGATACACCTCACCTCTATTTAAATATATGGATTTTTTTATTTCTTTTTTTGCACTTTTGATCTCAGATGATCTGTGCAATATTTTTATTTTTATTTTTAACCTTAGTTGACCCTTTTATTTTAAATTGGAAACTTGATTTAACACAGTCTATTGTGGATCAGTATCCCTACCCTTTCCTGTGCAGTTGTTAGCTGTCTTCATGTCCTCTTTATTGGCCCACCATTATTTTCCTAAATTTTTATCTTTATTTTATGATGCTACTCCAATTTTTAATCCTTATTTGTGTTTTTAAATATTACATTTATGAACATTATTAATATGTTCTCATTTTTTCTCTTCATATTTCATTCCTGTCTATGAATCAATTTTCTATTGCTTGAGAACCATCTTTTAGTCATTCTCTTACCTGGAAAAATCATACAAGTAGCTTCTTTTAGTCTTTCTTCAAATATATTTTTGTTCAATGTTCACTATTGAATGTTGTAGGACATAGGACTTTGTGCTAATTCTCTCCAATTTTTGATGGCAATTTTAATGAAAATAAAATCTCCAGATGAAAATTAGGAACCATTAAAACAGAATGATGTTTGAAAAGAAGCCATGGATCTCAAGTGTTGGAAGAAAGCCATTAATTATTTTGAAATTAAAATCTAATATAAATTCACTTGAAATTAGGAAAAAAGAGTGTTTAACTCAATACTTTTCAGTATAAGATATTTAATTAAAAATCATGGAATCATTATAGAGGTCAAATAGTAGACTATTGAAAGCCAATATTGAAAATCATCTTTAATTAAAATGGGAAGATGAGATGACAGTGAATATTCTCATTATGTGTGGAATCAAAGAGAAGAAAGTGTTTATAAGTTTGGACACGAGTCTGACATAGTCTTTTTTATTACTATTATTTCTGTAATGAAATATATGAAGTTACTTTAAATTGAAAAGCTCACAGTTTTGGAGTATGGAAGTCCAAGACTGGAACTGGTTCTGGGCATTTTGTCGAGGGTCCAGTAAAAGTCCTAAATTGGGCATCCTCTTCCCAATTAGTCTCTGTAAGGGTCTCATGGTGATTAGCGTGGTGGTGGTATGAATTTGTAGAAGAGATCCATAGCGACGCAGGAATCTGAAGGCATGCTCTGCATGCTCTCTTTCTGTAGTCGCTCACTCCCAGACGCTAACTAGATCCTTTCGGAACTATGTCAACCTCTTCTGAGGGCAGCAACTCCAACGCACTAGCCACCTCCCTTGAGACTACACCTCTTAAAGAGTCCGCCACCTCAGCCACTGCACTGAGGTCTAACCTTCTAGCACGTGACACTTCGATGGACATGGACCATTTGCAAACCATAGCCAAGTCTCTGGTATACAATCTCAAGCAGCCCAGTTTCAATGCACATGTTCACCATGTCAGCCATGACATTTTGTCCTGACACCTTTTCTGTATCAGTGTCATTTTAGATTCTAGAACCTGAATTGTTTACACTGGACATACATACCCATTGTTGTATCAACTACTGTTCTGTGTATTAATTGCCACTTGTCCTGTGAGAACACACCTAGCATTTTTGTTGTTTCTTTGTAATCACAAGGAACTTCATGTGTCATCCACACAAATGACTTTTAATGTGTGTTCTTGTCCAATAGTAAAAGCTGAACGGTGACAAGGCCATGGCAGTTTCTTAACTTATTAAGGTCCACTCTAAGGGGGCACACATACCTATCTAAAATAATTGAGGATCGATGTAAAATAATATTTATATGTGCAGACACAAGAATAATACAAGCTGGCTAGATACGCTTCAAAAGAATTTGAAGAGTCCCATCTCTATAAACTATAGTAGCCAGAGAAAGTTGACTAGATTTTAGTCAACATTTTTTATAAGATTAAATGTTGCTTTGCAAAACATCCCTGTGTATAGTGTCATTTTTCTTCTTTTCTGAAGATTGTGTATGTTCGCATAGATGTTAAAATAATGGAAAATTTCCCAAATTCCAAATGAGTAATGGCTCTGATTGTGTTAAGAAATGACTTTTAAAGCTGGGCAATGGTGGCGCACGCCTTTAATCCCAGCACTTGAGAGGCAGAAACAGGTGGATCTTTGTGAGTTTGAGGCCAGCCCGGTCTACAGAGCGAGATCCAGGAAAGGCACAACGCTACACAGAGAAACCCTGTATCAAAAAAACAAAAAAGAAATCATTTTTATTGACCATTTAAAACTGTCTATTTTCTGTTTTCATCTGGAAGCAGTCTAACATATGTAAATACTACTTAACAAAAATCACAGTTGTACTTTATTGGTCAAGAATCTTGATGCATTAAAAAAAACTCTCAATTGTGTTTTTAGATTTTCAACTGGTGACACTGATTCCAATAAGGTTCATGAAAAAAAAAACAGTCTATAAGCTAATTATTAAAAGAAAATTGATTGTAGCTATCTTTAAAAGAAAAAAAAAAAAAAACTTCTTTTAATTTAACCAAACAAGCCAGGAGGTAGTGGGGCACACCTTTAATCCCAGCACTTGGGAGGCAGAGGCATGCAGATCTCTGTGAGTTCAAGGCCAGCCTGGGCTACAGAGTGAGTTCTAGGATATGCTCCAAAGCTACACAGAGAAACCCTGTCTCAAAAAACCAAAAACCAAAAAAAAAACCTGAAAGAAACCAAATTTAACCAAACAAAAGTATTGTTATTTTAGTCGAAAGAAAAGGCTATGCATAAATTAACTTCTGTACATTAATTTGTAAATACAGACAAAATAACATTATACTTTTTTAAAAAAGATTTATTTATTTATTATGTATACAGCCTGTATGACTGCAGGCCAGAAGAGGGCACCAGATCTCATTACAGATGGTTATGAGCCACCATGTGGTTGCTGGGAATTGAACTCAGGACCTCTGGAAGAACAGTCAGTGCTCTTAATCTCTGAGCCATCTCTCCAGCCCCCGACATTATAA